TTTATGGTGAAGCGACAAATTTATGGATTTTTCTGGTAGCACACAATAGATGCGACGTTTATGGTGAAGCGACAAATTTATGGATTTTTCTGGTAGCACACAATAGATGTGACGTTTATGGTGAAGCAACAAATTTATGGATTTTTCTGGTAGCACACAATAGATGTGACGTATACGGTGAAGTGACAAATTTATGGATTTTTCCACTTTATTAGACATATTTTGACTGATGCGACTTATAGGGCGGTGCGATGTATACGGTGGAACATACAGTATATCGCAGCCAGTCTGACAAATATTAAAGTAAAAAGTAGTGTAGAAGTAGCTGAGAATGATCCCCAACATGTAATGTGAGCGCTAACGGATGTTTGTAGTCAACATTTCTGTCTGTCAGCAAAATGTCTCATGAACTGCTGAACTGACTGAATGAAATGTTCAAGAAATGATCATTGGATGCATCTCTACAATTTATTAGAGCCAACCTAATTCAAGATGGCCACTCCTGCCAGATGATCTCAGAAACATGTAACTGACCGTATGATCTTAGAATGACTGTAGTTCAGTGAACTTTACCAGTGCTGTATTAAAATGTTATTATGTTATTATATTTGGATAAAAAATATCCTGTATTCATTTATTACTTCCTCAAAGGACAACACTCGAGGACACGAGAAGATTTTTAACTGATGTACAGAAGTTCTACATGCATGATGTGTTTTCTGGTAAGATGGTGCCCGTGTACATAGCTTGCAATCCACCTCTGCTGATGGTGTTCGGATTATTTTTGTTTTGTTTGTTTTTTTATCTGTGGCATAAATTCACTCCTAATGTATGACAGACAACAGCTTCTGGATCTTTGTTTTTCTGTCACTGATGTCACTTATTTGGACCATTATCAGCGTACATCTGGACCCCCCCCCTCCCCCCCTGCTGGTGGACGTGCCAGTTTACCTCCACTGCGCTCCTCACCTCCATGCCCGGAGACATCGCTTCAGACGCCGGGGAAAAGGTGCTGGTCAGCTGGTGAAGCTTAAAGCTCTGCGCGCTGCATCTTCCTCTCCAGCTGGAGGTCATGGTTTCCATCAAACCCCGGTCCAGGGGACTTTCTGGGTGGAGTTTGCATGTTCTCTCCGTGCATGCGTGGGTTTTCTCCGGGTACTCCGGTTTCCTCCCACAGACCAAAAACATTAGGCTAATTAGGCTTTAACAACGTTAGGCTGATTGGTAACTCTAAATTGTCCCTAGGTGTGAGTGAGAGAGTGAATGGTTGTTTGTCTCGTTTGTCTCTATGTGTCCCTGTGATGGATGAGGTTGAACAGCAGCGTGTTTAAAGGATTTTGGCACCACGCCAGTGGATAAACTGCTATTCACAATAGCAAGAATGGACGGACCTAGAGTAGGAAAAACCTCCTTTAGTAGTCGAGGGTGGACCACATCAAAGGGGGAACCAGAAGGTTTCAAGTCTGGTTTTAAAATATGGCACAGCACTGAAACTGTCCTTTTAAAAGGAAGTCTTAAGAGTGAGGAAATCTCTCGGATGAGAGACGAAACGTTTCTACATTTTTTTGTTGTTTTGCTTTGTTTTTTTTGTTTTTTTGAATGTCCAGAGGACCAGATTTAACTTTTTTAGATTTTTCTACCTGGATTATTGAGCATGCATCAGGATGTCCTTTTAAAAGTTTTTAATGACCTTCTTTTAACTGTTGATGCAGGAAAATCATCAGTTCTCTTACTTTTAGATTTGTCTGCTGCCTTTGCCACTGTGGACCACAGCATCCATTTGATCCATCTAGAGTCACTTGTTGGGATTCATGGTACAGCTTTAAGCTGGTTTCGATCCTATCTCTCAAATAGGAGTTTTTCTGTAAATCTACTGTAGGTCTGTATTCCTCCTCAGTGTCTCCTCTGAAATATGGGGTGCCCCAGGGGTCGGTATTAGCACCTGTTCTTTTTACCTTATACTTTCTGCCTCTGGGTTTAATCTTTAAAAAGTACAAAGTCACTTTTCATTGCTTTGCAGATGGCATTCAGATATATCTACTTGTAACTACAAATGGCAGCCAGTCTGCTGTACATATGTTACAGGATTGTCTTAGGGACATACAGACATGGTTAAGAACACATTTTCTGAACCTGAATAAGGAAAAAACAGAGATTCTGGTGTTCAGTCAATGCAACCCACTGCTTGGGTATGACAGTGTGGTTGGTCCTTTGTCCTCCTTCTGTCGTCCGTTTGTGAAAAACCTGGGTGTGATAGTTGATCCTCTGTTTAAATTTAATAAGTATATTAGTGCTGTTATCAAACCAGTTTCTTCCAACTGAGGACCCTTGCAAAGATAAAATCTTACCTTCCTCGGCCTGATCTAGAGAGGGCTATCCACGCATTTATTACATCGTATTTGGATTATTGTAATTCTTTGTATTTAGGGTTGGACAAGAGATCCCTGCAGCGATTGCAGAGCATCCAAAACTCTGCAGCCCGTCTGTTAACAAACACAAGGAGGCGCAACTCTATTACCCACGTTTTACACTCCCTTCACTGGCTCCCTGTTGCTTTTCGGGTGAAATTCAAAGTTTTATTGATTGTTTTTAAGTGTTTAAACTCCGTGGGTCCATCTTACCTAAGCGAGCTGCTGCAGCCCTACACTCCATCCAGAGCCCTGAGATGCAGCTCTTGTTGACTGTCCCTAAAGCGAGATTGAAGACTTGAGGTGACAGAGCCTTCTCTGTGGCAGCACCCAGACTGTGGACCAGCCGCTCTCTGTCTGTGAAGCTCTCTCACTCAGTAGATCAGTTTAAGTCCAGATGAAAACACATCTGTTCTCCCTGGACTTCACTCAAATTAGTACTTGATTGACTCGAGTTTTGGGGAAATTGCAGCAAATATGCAATAGCTGTCTTGGTTTTTATTAGTACTATTGTTTTATTGGTATTTTACTGCAAATTTTATCATACTTTCATCTTTTAAACAATTTTATTTTGTTTATCATATTTTATCATATTTTATCATATTTTATCTATGATGTTGTATTCTTGTGACGCACTTTGGTCAGCTGTGGTTGTTTTTAAATGTGCTATATAAATAAGTTTTGAATTGAATTGAATTGAATCTCAAATGTTTGTTCATTTCTTCTGTTGTCACAAGCCACAGGTGATTTCAGCACACCAGCATTGTTGTCTTTGTTCCAAGAGTCACCAGAAGTCTGAAATGAAGGTGTGGCCACACCTCAAGACAAATTTATTATTAGGGTTTGTTTGTAGTTTTATGTTTATGTAATAACTGAGAAGGTACCTCACATACCATCATATTTCACTTTCTTTACAGGATGATTGCTATTTGACCAGTTGATCCATTGTTTTTAGTTAATCAGGCGTAATATCAGTTCTTTCTGCAGCAGTGCCAGTTGGCTCTTGTGCGACACTAATAAGAGGTCATTAGATTTAATATGAGGTAATTACTGAAAATGCTTAGGGTTGCTCAGAAGCTCTGTACCCACCTAAATTACCTAACATGTGTATTGTTATTATTCACATGTAATGAACGATGCACATGAGTTAGACAAACTCTAAATGCTTATATAGAGGACAGGTTTAGCCGACAGTTAAGTTCAGGATTAAATTTTCAAATTTTATCCGTGAGATGCAAAACTGTTGTTTGATCAAGGAGTAAACAGTGTCCTTAAAATAATAATAATAATAATATATTTTACGATTATTAAAAATTGTTTTATTATACAATCTTATAATTGAACATTTGGGGGAGTGGTGGTGCAGAGATTAGAGAAGGTGAGCCTGTGATTGGAAGGTCGTTAGTCCAACTCCCTGGATCGACAAAATTTAAATGTGGGTGGGATAGGTGAAGCACCCACATCTGACTCCACTCTTATGAGGTAAGGAAAATACTGGAAAAGTAGCTGAAATACAATTAAAAAAAGTTGAATTTAGCAAAAAGAAGGTGAAAGAGAATGAAAATAGCTAATTAAAGTTTAAATGGGCATAAAGAAGCTGGAAGGAGCTGAAGGAAGCTGAAATCAGCAGATAAATAGTTGGAAAAAACCAAAGCGGAAGAAAAGCTGAAGTGAGCAGTAAAAGGTTGTAAACAGCACAGAGGCTGAAGGACGTGAGGGGAGCTCCGTTCAGTTTCAGAGAAAAACAAAGCTAAATATTTATAAAAGTACAAATTGTACAAATACCAAAAGTAACAGCTGAAATGTGTTGAGCTGAACATTTTGATACATGAATTGTTGAAATAACACAAAAACTGCAGAGTAAGGTACGTGACAAAAAAACGTACAGAAGAAAACCGGATCTCAACGGAGTGAACGATTTACAAACATTCAGACAATAAAAAGTTCACTTTGATCTCTGTTTGCTTTTCAGCTCATGAATGGTCGTCTCTTATTCCTCCATGTCCACTGTTAGCTTTGTACCGCATGTGCACGTGTGTGTGTACGTGTGTGTTTGTTTGCATATCTAACATGTTGTCAGCAGCATTTCTGCTCTGCCAGAAATGTGCTGGCACTCTCTGGTCAGATGATCTTTCTGGAAACTTTCTACTACGTGGAACTTGACACTGAGAATCGGCTCAATCCAAAGTTCTTCTTCAGTCCTCTTCTCCTCCTTCCTTTCCCTTATTCACCAGCGCTCACCTTGCTTCTCTCTGTCTTGCTGACTTAAAAAAAAATAAGCTTTTTTGTTTTTGCCCGTGTGTGCGTGTGTGTGTGTGTGTGTGTGTGTGTGGGGGGGGGGTCTTTTACCTAAAATATCAAAAATAGCTAAATGTCTTATGAAGAACGAGACATTTTAATAAATCTTGCATAAAGACGTCTACAGATAACAGATTTTGTTTTTGGAGTAAATCCATTTCAAGATAGCTTTAAATCACAGTTTGCTAACAGACAGACACAGTCCTTTGTCTTGTAACCTTTAAAATCACTTTGGAGCTGACCCTTGACCCCTGCCGGTGCTACAGTTTCTTTGCATTTATGAATCATCTGTGGGTTCAAACATTCCCTCGTCTGATTCCTGCAGGTATGGAAACAGCACCAAGCAGTACAAAGTCAGGGTGGGCGACTACCACTCCCTGGTCCCAGAGGAGCATGAAGAGGAGTACGGTGTTGATCAGATCGTTCTCCATCCAAACTACCATTCCCACAGCAACAACTACGACCTGGCCTTGGTTCGTCTGTCTCTGGGGGCCGTGGGCCAGGCGCCGGGACAGTGCGTGTCCTTCAGCCATCATGTCCTCCCCGCCTGCCTGCCCGTGAAGAAGGAGCGAGTGCTCAAACAAGCCAGCAACTGTCACATCACCGGCTGGGGGGACACAGGTGTGTGGATTTAAATAGTTAGCTTAGGGAACAGCTTGTGGCACATTTTCAGAAAACACCCATAAATGATAATAATAATAGAAACATATAATTAAAAGGTGCACATTTTCTATTCACATCGTTTCCAAAACTGCCATGTGAAAATTATAACGCAGGTTAAAAGTTAATCCTGCTCTTTTAAAATGTGTAATTCATTTTCAGGGTCTGCCCGTCCATCTGAGTCTGCACACATACACACAACACACACACACACACACACACACGCTCACACATCTGTTAGTGATCTATAAATTACTGCTGATGTCATCAATCATAGCAGCTCGCTCACGAAGGGCTGCAGGAAGTCACGCTCACACCATGCAAGAGCACGAACTACTCGCTGTGAAGTGTTTTTTTTAAACCTTCTTAGAACCAGTACAATTCTGTGAGTGTGTGTGTTTGTGTGTGTGTGTGGGGGGGGGGGTAGTTTTCCTGCATTAGTTAAGCCAGGCACACTCAGACTATTTAAAGTCTGTGATGTTGAACAACATCTATCTGACTCGAGGCTGCACGTCTGCTGTGTACAGCTGTTTGTGTTTGGCTAGCTGCCTCCCATATCACACATGCAGGCACACCCCCCCCCCCCCACACACACACACACCCCTCGAAGCTGTCATGGATGGTTTTTGACACTATGTGGTCACTAAGATTAGTGTCTGTGGTGGTTAAAATGGCTGACGTCAAGTATTTCAAAGAAAGTGAAAGTTACTCTTTAAAAAAAAACCTTTAGGTGTACCGTTTGGTTCAGAGTGACAAACTACACAAGTGAGGTGGTGCTATGAGATCAGAGAGTCTGCTAACGTGCTTTAGCATGCTAGCATTTGGTCTATTTTAGCAAGCAGGGCCTGCAAAAAATAAGCATAGAGTTTCCTCTGCAGGGTAGATGGACTCTCTCTCTCAGAAATAGGGTGAGAAGTTCAGTTCTCCAGGAGAGACTCGGCGAAGAACCGCTGCTCCTCCATATCCAGAGGTGCAGTTGAGGAGGTTCGGACATCTGGTAAAGATGGACCCTGGACTCCAGACTTGTCTGACTAGGAGAAGACCCAGGACACGCTGGAGGGACTACATCCCTCAGCTGGACTGGGAACACCTTGGAGTCCTCCCAGAAGAGCTGGAAGAGGTGGCTGTGGAGAGTGATATCTGGACCTCTTGATCAAGCTGTTGCCCCGAGACCTGAGTCCAGAACAAGAGGATGGATGGAAGATTGAAAAATGCTCCTTGATTATTTTTTTTAAACGATTTAATAAGTTATTACATATTTAATATAAGTCACCTAGCAGACATAGTCGGAAATTTTATATAAATGAACAATTTCTGTACAATATATCCTCCCAAGTCTTAAAATACAAACAGATGGAGATCTTCTAAACCAGTGGTTCTCAAAATGGGGTCCCCAGACCCCCAGGGGTCTGTGAGCTGGTGCTTGGGGGTCCGCAAAAAAATACATGCACATAGATGTTTAACAACCATTAAAATGCACCAAAAATGCAGGAAATCACATCTACTTTATTTAGAAGTTTATGGGGGAGGACCCCCAGCCCCCCCACCAGCACACACACTATTTGCTTTCCAGGATGGATCAGTTTACAAATTAAACCCCGTTACTTGGTCTGACTCCTGCTGCTATGATTCTGTTCAATTTTATGTAAAGAGTTTTCTGTAATAATTTAAAGAAGTGACGACACGTTTATTATGTTCATTTTGTGAATAGGTGAAGTTTTAAAGAGGTTTTTGATGCTGTTCATTTTCTCAAAACTGCAATTTTTGGAAGTTGAAATTAAAAATTTGTTAATTAAGTGTGTCTTGGCAGCACAGTGGTGCTACTAGTAGAGCTGCTGCCTCTCAGCGAGAGGTCGCCGGTTCAAATCCCGGTCCGTGAGCCTTTCTGGGTGGAGATTGCATGTTCTCTCCGTGCATGCGTGGGTTTTCTCCAGGTACTCCAGTTTCCTTCCACAGACCAAAAACATGCATGTTAGACTGACTGGTGACTAAATTGTCCCTAGGTGTGAGTGAGAGAGTGAATGATTGTTTGTCTCGTTTGTCTCTATGTGTCCCTGTGATGGACTGGAGACCTGTCCAGGGTGTACCCCGCCCCTCACACAGTGATTGCTGGACATGGACACCGGCGACCCCCGTGACCCAAAATGGAATAAGCGGGTAAAAGATGATGGATGAAGTGTGTCTTGAATGAAAAATACTCCATGTTTAAAAGTATAAAAATTGTATAAACACTATTAAAGAACAGGTCTTAAGTATTTATGTTACACAAATATTTCCATTGCATTAAAGAGACAAATTAAAGAAAATTATTTAATAAACATGAGGGTTATGAGAGGTCCCTGAACCCAAAAAGTTTGAGAACCTCTGATCTAAACGACAGCAGAAATCAGTTTCAGTAGTTTTTTACTTTACACGTCCAGATGAAATAAACTCTTGAACTTTTCATAATTGCTCTCTTCTCAGGGCGCTCGTACTCAAAAACCCTGCAGCAGGCCGCTCTGTCCCTTCTGCCACGCCGGCGCTGCCAGCAGTATTTCCACAGCGCCTTCACCAGCCGCATGCTCTGCGCCGGCAGCATCCAGTCAGACAGGCACGTGGACAGTTGCCGTGGTGACAGTGGAGGCCCGTTGATGTGTGAGCGTCCCGGCGGGGGCTGGGTGGTTTACGGGGTCACATCCTGGGGTCACGCCTGCAGGACACAGCAGTCCCCGGGTGTTTACACCAAAGTGTCTGCTTTCAGCTCCTGGATACGCAAAGTAACCGGGCGTGATGAGAAGAGGCAACGAGGAGCCGACCTGTCAATCTGAAGGAGCGGCTCTCAACAAGTGACGGGTCAGATGATCTGATGTCACGGCGTTATCGCCTGAACAAGGACTGAAGTGGGAAGCTGAGTTTTAAAAAAACTAAAAGGTAAGAGGACAATGCTGATTTCCACTCCCCTTATATTTAGTTTGATTTGTAATCTTGGACGTTAGAAGAATAAAGTGTTAAACACACAAAAGTGACATAACTGTGTCGTAACATTGCAAATGACACAACCTTTGAAACTGTTTTATGTTTAAATTAATGTTTTGTTGTGCTTGATTTTTTTGAATACTCATTGTAATTTATTATATAAACGTTGTATGTTGGGAAAGGGACCAGTCAGGGTGCAGACTGCACATGCATGCACTCATATTAGCCATAGCATGTCATGAATTTGCATACTTGCACTACAATCCTCAGTTTTGGTACTTTAGCTGCAAGATATTCGGTGCTTCTGCGTTAAGTCTTGTGGTCGTATTGTTTTTTTTTTTTGCCAAAGTAAAATATAAAACCTCATTTTTTAATTTCTTTTTATATATATATATATATTTTGTTTTAATCTTTGCAAAAACATGTTTCAGGTCTTACTATTGCTCAGGCTTTTATACGATAAATCCAATAATTGGTGCATGGAGCTTGACTTTGTGCTGAGGAATGTTTACAAAAAAAAAAACGTGTTTCACAATCAAAGCACAAAATATTTCAAAGTGTTATTTTGTCCAAACTTTGTACTTGCTTAGTATTACGGTGTTGTCTTTTTTCTGAATCAGAGGGGCAACGTAGACACTTTACATTGTTCTAATGTGTTGTTTACTTGGAGTTGCGTTGTGATGTATTCAAACATTTCCCCATAAAACCACATTTTGTAAGAATCCAGACTTTGTCTCGCCTTTATTCTGGACACGTCATCAAGCCCCGAAGCTGTTTATGTAAACACATGCCGATAATTGCCTGTGAGATTTCTAAATGGCTGTCACACTTCTGTCATAAATCTTTGTCGGTGGCAGCTGCAGCAGTGACCGGGCCTTTCAGGTATGTTTTCTGACAGGAACCTGTCGAAGGGAGCACCTTGATGTCACACACCGTGTCACTGGAATGTTGCCGAGGGTGGACAGGAAGGGCAACCAGCTCCTGAGCTGTTGTCACTTCAAACGGAGAATGAGGAGTATACTAAGAAGTGCTAAGAAACTAAAACTGATGGAAAGAAAATGTGCACATTTTACCCAGCACATGCATGGTCCGGTGTTTCTTGGGTTTAATCATCACTTAGAATTAATTGGCGGTTCATTACAACAATGGAAATTTGTTCTTAAACTCGCCCTCCCTCTCCTCTCGTGTCTTAATGTGTTATTAATGATCACATGAACGATTACTGCAGTTCTGACCTGTAGTTACCTCGAGTTGACACGCTCGAGTCAAACGTGGATGAAAATGGCTGCAGTAACACTGTCTTGGGTACCACTTTACAATAAGGCTCCCCTTATAGATGCTAATAAATAGTTTATAAATATGTTATTAATTCCTCTATAAACACTTTACAAATCATTACTAATTGTTTATTATGCATTAATTAAGGGTGACAGAGAGAAAACTGACCAGTTTCTTGCCAAATTTGTTCACCTCTATATTTCACCTAGAGTTGTTATATTAAACATTTCAGACTAAGTTACTACCTTTTAAGAACAATAAGCATTTGTGAACCTTTTTTTTTTAGGATATAATATTAGTTGTAGATACTTATAATGTAGAGATAAAGTACAATATTATATGCTAAAAAAATAGGTTTACAAATGCTTGTTGTTCTTACAAGGTAGTAACTTAGTCTGAAATGTTTAATATAACAACTCTAGGTGAAATATAGAGGTGAACACATTTGGTTCACTATTTGGCAAGAAACTGGTCAGTTTTGTCTCTGTCACCCTTAATTAATGCATAATAAGCTGTTATTAATGATTTATAAAGTGTTTATAGACTAATTAATAATGCATTTATAAGCTATTTATTAGCCCTCTATTAAAGGGAGCTGTAAACTGGTACAGTTTTATGTTTAAAGTCTAAAAGTGCAGGCGTGGCCTGGAAGTCGTTCATGTTCCACAACAACAACTAAGGTCCCTGAACTGTCACACTTTGGATGTGGAACACAAACTTTTATTATTTTTCATTTTTTAGCACAACTAGTTTCATTAATAAACTTTTAGAAAAAAATTGACAAATTAAAACTTGACGTTCTTGAATCCAAAGAGAAAGTGGGGAGAGATCAACATGTAAACAGATTGGCTAATAAATCAAAACATAAAAAACACAAACATTGTCCTTTTGTTGTGAGTGCAGGTTAAACTTGATAGAAAGTTTCTGTCTCAGGCTGTCAGTCTGAGGGCGCCCTCTTGTGGTTTTATTGTAAACTACATTTTAGGATTTAAAGTTTGATGGTGAATATTAACGATTAAACCGCAACTTTTCAACGCTTTTAATGTTTTCTTGTGCAAACGTGATTAAAAATCTTTACAAAGTGATTCCAGTGTAGGTTTTAAATGAATTCCCTAAATCACAATACAATAAGTGTAGCAAGAGTTTAGATGGCATATATTTATATATATTTTTTGCTTTTGACTTTTTTGTCATCAGTTTATGTCCTTCAGTTTTAAGAAGTCAAAGGTTTAATTTACACATTTCAATGTAAGACAAAAGCTTCATGAATATGGTTAAGAAAAAAAAAAACAATAATCTTTTATAGGAGCTCATGTTTTAGGCTAGTATTTCCTCCAAATTTAACACAAACAAATGATGACCGCTCATTTGATGAGAAAACATGATGTACATCAAAGCACAAGTGTTAAATACTCACATGACTTCACTGTTAGATGTTTGTGTTATTGTGTACACAATACACATGTGTTTTTAGGCTGTTTTGTCAGATAAACTTTTAATAATGGGACATATTTCAAACAAGTTTTAAATATAAATAAACCATGAAGTGTAATTATCTGTGTTCAGGGTTACTGTAATGATTTTTCACATAAACAGATAATTGGAAAATATTTATTCTCACTGACTTCCTATGTGTTCAGGCTCAGGTCCTCTACCAGAGGCCTGGGTTCTGTTCAGTATCTCAGCTGTTCCAAGGACTGGGGTCTTCAGGACAGCGATATCTGAGGTTGTTCCTGGGATCTGTTGGAGCCACTCTTCCAGTTTGGGGGTCACAGCACCGAGTGCTCTAGTGATCACTGGGTCTACTGAAGCTTTGACTCTCCACAGCTTCTGAAGTTCTTCTGTCAGCTCCTGGTATTTCTCCAGCTGTTCCTTCTTCCTGATGTTATTGGGATGTTACATCTACCATCACGGCCTTCTTCTGTAGGTTCGACCAGCACAACATCTCATTGGTTTAACCATCACTGGTTTGTCGGTCCGGATCTGGAGTTCTCACAGTATCTGTTTGACTGTTGGACCTTCAGTCCATACTCGACACAGATGTTATTTTATACTATTCCAGCCACTTGATTATGGATTTAATGTATGCTTAGCATGCCAGCATCTTACCCTACTTACATATATATATATATATATATATATATATATATATATATATATATATATACATATACTGTTAAGTAGATTTAAAATGCTGAATAATCTGTTTAAGGATTATTGCTTTATTGAACTAGTCATTTTGTTAACTATTATGGGCAAAAATGTGCATGTTCATAGCTGTAAAACTTATTACACTTTAATTATGTGTGCTACTCCTGAACTGACCCAGTCAATAAAAAAAATATTTATTTTAATATATAATTTTATTACATCAAGTACGAGCTTATTTTTCTAGATTAGTTATATTTTTATTATTACAAATACTTTGTGTAAAAGAGCAAATCTCATGCAGTTCCTGTTAACTTATCTTTTCTTAAGGTTATTGAGGTTTTATTTGGATTAAAAGTGGCCGTACTCATTTCTGAGCAGAGGAGTTCCTGCAGAAAGAGCGTACCGTCAGCTGGCATGCTTCTTTAAAAATACATTGTATGCTGACAGTCATATTCATCTTTTAATTTTGGTTTTTGTGTTTGACATTTAGGGTTCTTTGCATTCAAATCGAAGCTAAACACACAGGCCACTATCATTTTCACAAGGGAGGGGAAAAAAAATCAGATTAAAAGGAATAGATCAGATTTTTGTGTGGGGGGGTGTTGTGTGGAAAGGTTATGAGGACTTATAGCTTACCTGTTGCTGTTTGATTAACCTTACTTGTACAAATAGTTTAAATTTGAACAAACTGATGAGCTAACGGCTAGTCTGAGATGGGCCAAGACCAAAGTGAGATTCTGTCATCAAAAAGCTCACAGCAGTTCATGGGGATACTGTTTTAAAAACAATTACATTGTCATCAAATCTTTATTCTAAATTACAGGAAGCAGCAGCGTTCTGCTGCAGCCTGGGACACTTCCTGCACAAATATCTGTACATTTCAGTCTGAGTAACCCGGGAATGTGAAACTGAAGGCAGTGTAAAAGTTTATAGAACAGCATTTTCGTGAAGCATTATGACATTTTTGAGACTAAAACAGTTTTAGAGCAGCAGTGATCTACTTTAGTCTTGGCCCCATCATTCAGCGTAGAAGAAATCTGACAGGAACATGTAAATTGAAGCTGATGTAACAGGGCCAAACGAACCCCTGCCCAGATTAAACCTGGGTATAGTTTGGCCCAGGCCAGAGTGTACTCGGGTTCCCGGGGTGTAAAATGGCCTAGCCTAGGCCAGACTATACTCTTCCAGGCCAGAATATACCCATCTATACATACAATGTGGCCTGAGAGGTGCAAATTGGCCTAGCCCAGGGGTCTGCGACCTGCAGCTCCGGAGCCACAAGTGGCTCGTTGGTCCATCGACAGCTGCTCTTTCAAGCTTTGACCAAAACTAACATTAAACTGAATTTTATTGGTTGTTATACTAAAATAAAAAAGGGGCATTTTAACAGTCTTCCTGTCTTTTTTTTATTATTTTTTTTGCAAATATGTGAACGTAGTAACACATCTCTTCAAAGTAGGATACTTAATTTTTCCATAATAAAAAAATAAAATTATAGGCCTGCATAGTTCATTGTTTAAAATGTTACAAAATTGTTAAAATCTTTATATTGCTTTTCTTTCTTTACAGCAATCCAGTCTTTTCTTTTGTCTTAAAATGTACAAATACCAAATGTTAAAAACCATTTGATAGTTTTAGTTTTATAAATTCACCCCTACTGGCCAGAAAAGCCCCCTCCAACAAACTTAAAATGGCCCACAGGCCACCAGTTGATGGTCACAGTTGTACCAGATTGTTGCAGCTCCAGACACTTCATTTAGTGAACAAAGGGGCATAAATGGCTCTTTTGATCATAAAGGTTGCAGACCCCTGGTCTAGCCCCAGTGATATAGTATACTCAGGGTAAATCCTAGCCTAACCTCAAACCCCAGGTAGTCAGACTGGGGTGTACTATGGCCTGTTGTCTCTGTCAGCTGGTGCCAGTACAAGTTTAAAGTCCCGCCCACACTGTGAAAACAAATGGGACATTGACCTTGGCAATAACAAAAAAATATAAATGAAAACAGACTTGTGGGACTTTCAGACTCAGATCTGGACGTCTTCAACTTGTATGCAGACACCGTTTCTAGAAATCCAACATGGCAGCTACCATAAAACCAATTCTTGTAGCTTCGATAACCAACAAGACGAAGGCAGGACGCCAGGTCGAGCTTTGTTTTGTACGGTCAATGGGCCCCACTCAGACTAACCATGAGCTCTTTAATCTGGTCAGAGTTAAACTCTTTAACCGGAGGCTATTCAAAGAGATATCTACAACAGGTAAGACATCATTGTTCAGAAACTTTCCACAAAAGCCCACTTTAAACGATTTAAATCATCACTTTAAACGAGACACTGAAACAAACAAAACTATCCTGCAGTTACAGCAGCAGCCACGCTACCTTCAGTTTCCAGCTCAGACCTTCTCTTTAAACGTCAGGTGATGTACTGAAAGTTGAACGAGGCTACCAGATCTATCAGAAGCTACCTCAGTTTAAAAAAACAATAATTGACAAATAAAAAGAACTTTTCATGTCACGGCCTGTCACCCACCCTGAGTTCATGCACTTCTCTGTTTGTATGCTTTCTGACCTTGATGAAAGTAAAACAATGAAAGAGATGAAAGCAAACCTTTTGTTGGAGATATATTTAACAGAACTCAGTGCAAAGTCATCTTTAATGTGAGCCATGCACAGCTGACCAGCGCTGCTCTGGCAACATAAGTTAACGAGGGGAAATAAAAAAAAGCAAAAACTCGAATATTATTGACAATCAAAGTCACTGCACGTCTGCAGGAGAGCCAGTTCAGACCAAGTCCAGGCGCTGAAGACGAGCCGAACCCTCGCTGTCTCCCGCAGTTCACCGTTCGAGTGGGGCGCTTCTTTTTAGTCGCACTTTCTTCTGACCATCCGTCCATCGTGTCACGTCCCCTGCTCCGTTCAGCAGCTTGCAGGTGAGCTGAGGCCACCCGCCACTCTTTTTCACCTCGGAGTGCACTAAAAGGCCACAGAGAGTGCATGTGAAGGTCAGGCGCTCCTGGTTGCTTCCAGATGTCTGACATCTTGACCTTTACCCCTGGCTCATGGACTGAAAGGTTATCTAACCTTCAGAAAGCGGTAAAGACAGGGAGGGGTTGGAGAGGGAAACAGAAACAGGGAACAAAGAAGATGAGGTGCTTTAATTTCTCTTCACCAACTGTAGAAACTGAGAAAACATATAGAGTGCCATTAATACAGGGGAAAAACATGTTCAAAAGGCATATCAAGCCTGTTTCAAGTGGAATTAATTGGAATAAAGGACCAGGGGCACTGTAATGAGATGAGAAAGCAGCATTTAGCGTACTTTGAATAATTCAAAGAGGTTAGGAAGTAATGGAATATGAAAAGAGAAATTCTTTCAGCCAGCTCTGCTTGACAGCCTTTTTGTTTGGAGAGACTGTTTCTCCAGCCAATGTTGGTTTCACTGGGATGACTGGTCTGTTGGGTACAGAGCTCGCTGGTGGCTATGCTCTGATGACTGACTGGATGAGGTACATAAATGATTTTTATCGCCTACCACCAAAAATTATATATTTTTCTTTTAAATAGTTCCGTTTGTTCATGAAATGCTGAATAGATTTAATGAAGTTTTTAGAAAATAATCATCGGCTGTACCTCTACAACTGGTGGAGTCGACTCAATTCAAAATGGCCGCTTTAGCTAATCGACAGTAGCCTACACAAAAGTGATGATAAGTCAGTAAAACGTTACAGACATTAGGTTAATATTTGGTGTGGTGGTAGCTGAGACATCTTCAGCACATTCTTTGAGAGCTTACACATCTTGTAAGACGTTAAAGTGGAGCTGATAAATGACCAAGTTTATCTAAATCTGTCAAAACTGGATGCAAACAAAACTTCGGACAGACCTTGCTTAAACATTACTCCTTACAAGTAGGTTGGTCACTTGAAATTTCAATATGGCTGCCATTTTCAAGATGGACGTGCAAAGTAAAAACGCTTTTCGTACAAGCAAATGATTTTTGTTTTTAAAGATTAGGTCACTAACACAGACAAACATATATTCATTCAACCTTTATTCATACAGGTTAGTCTCATTGAGCCTCGAGGACTCATTTACAAGAGAGACTTGATTTTAACAAAGAATGATGACAACACTAGAAAATCATAAAGGAAAGCATATAAACTGAAAAATAAATTAAATAAAATTATATTGAAAAAATATCCTGATGCATGCTATATTAAGAAAAAACAAAAAAACCAGCTAGGTTGTAAGGCGGTGTAGAAAACTAACAACAGGAACATGTCTGCGTTGGTTTTTCCCAGGAACTTAGCAGATGTTTGAAGCCACTTAGAGAGGTCAAGGTCGAGAGCTTCAGATCTTTTTGTAAGATATTCCAGGAAACAGGAGCGGAGTAGGAGAAGGCCCTTTTGTCTAGTTCAGTCTGCACTGAGGGAACACTGCAGGTAATAATGTCCTGAGAGCGCACGCTGTAGCTGCACTCATGCAGTGACATGTAGGAGGAGATGTATGAAGACAACAGATCTAAGGTATGAACTAAAAAATATGCTAAACTAAGAATACGCTAAGCACTAATAATACAAAAACAATACGCCAAACAACAGCAGCACAAACATGAATTTTTGTGAGCAGATGAGTATGAATGAACTAAAGCATCATATCGTTACACATTTATACCTCATAATAGTCAAAATACCATTTGAAAATATAAAACTTTTGTTTGCAAACAAAAACATGTCAGCCATGTTGAAATTCAGAGTAGTTAATGTGAATTTCTAAAAAATATGGCCTCACAGCAACTCTTATATCAGCTTATATGCTTCCATCCACATTTAAAAATTATTTCAGTTATCTGGTCCAATACTGTGCATAATGCCATTTATAATGTTTGACAAAACAGCTCTGACTTTGCCCTTTTCTCATAGATCTCATTTTAACTTCTTGCATTCCTGTAAAGACTGATGAGCCTTTAGTTCAGGTCTCTCTTGTAAATGAGTCCCCAAGGCTCAGTGGGATTAACCTGTATAAACAAAGGTTGAATGAATGAAAAAATAATCTTACTTTTGGTTCAAGTGGACAATTGCAGTTTAGAGTGTTTTTTTTTACAATGCATTTATAAAATGCAATAAACTTTTTAAAATCAGTGAGTGTCATACTAAAAGTGCAGAATAGAAATTTAAAATAAAACAAACAAAAAAGTAAAGAAAACAAGTACATTTTAATCTGTTCTGGCATATTCCCATGAAAACCAAAAAGCTGCGTCCTGTACCAGAGGCCTGGGTTCTGAGGGTTCTGTTCAGTATCTTAGCTGTTCCAAGGACTGAGCTCTTCTGGACAGAGATCTCTGAGGTTGTTCCTGGGATCTGTTGGAGCCACTCTTCCAGTTTGGGGGTCACAGCACTGAGTACTCCAGTGATCACCGGGACTACTGAAGCTTTGACTCTCCACAGCTTCTGTATTTCCTCTTTCAGATCCTGGTATTTCTCCATCTGCTCCTTCTTCCTGATGTTACAGTCTCTTGGGATGCTACGTCTGTCACCACTGCCTTCTTTTGTAGCTTGTTGACCACCACAGTGTCTGGTAGGTTAGCCATCACCTGTTTGTTGGTCTGGATCTGGAAGACCCACAGTATCTTAGCCCTTCCATTCTCTACCACCCTTGGTGGCATCTACCACTTTGACTGTGGGACCTCCAGTCCATACTCGGCACAGATGTTCCTGTATATTATTCCATAGTTGCTGTGTATTAGTCCAGATGTTCCTGTATATTATCCCAAATGTTCCTGTATATTATTCCAGATGTTGCTGTATATTATTCCAGATGTTCCTGTATATTTTTCCAGATGTTCCTGTATATTATTCCAGCCACTTGGTCATGTTGTTCCATGTATGCATTGTCTGTCTGGATCTTACACCCTACTATGATGTGTTGGACTGTCTCAGAGACATCTTAGCACAGCCTACATCTTGGGTCTTGTCTGGTATGGTAGACCCGGCCTCTATTGCTCTTGTACAGCCCTCATTAGTGCTTCTGTGCTGTCCTTCAGTCCAGCCCTCTCTAGCCACTGGTAGGATTTATTGATATCAGCCACTTCCTCAATCTGCAGATGGTACATGCTGTGCAGGGACTTATCTTTCCATAGTGGCTCCTCTTGTTCCATCTCTGCCTGACATTCACTCATCAGTTCATCACCGGGGGCTTTCCTCCTGATGTACTCCAGGATCTTAGTTGTTTCATCCTGTATAGTGGCTTGAAGGCTCACTAGTCCTCTGCCTCCCTCCTTTCTCTTAGTGTATAGTCTCAGGGTGCTGGACTTGGGCTGAAACCCTCCTTTGAGTTTAATGTTGGTGGCATCTATCTCCTCCTTTTGCCAGGCTATTATACCAGCTGGGAACCACAATGGATTACACCATGACCAAAAGATATTAGTGAGGCCATGGGATTATATATATATGTATATATAGTCTAAAATATTATACTATTTCACCTTTAAATTACACATGTGCGGGTGAGATGATCATGATGCTGACCTTCTGCAGCTCCTCTCTCAGCCATGAGGGAAGGGGCTGTCCGAGACGATGCAGCAGCTTTGACAGCTCCACGTTGTGTTCCCTGTAATACTTTGACAGATACGCACGCGCCTGAAGAGAGTTGGACAGAGGGTGGAGGACAAAACAATGACAGAACAGACAGGCGGGGATGGGGAATCAGGATAAAGAAAGGTTAATCAGCTAGAATTCAGATTATTCAGATTATTGACAGGTCAGTGTCATCAAGTGAGCTTCTTTTTGTTTTTGAAGAAAGTTTAAATACTGTTCTTCAGTTCAGCAAGAGTCGAGGTGGGAGTTATTTACATTTAATGCATCGTAACGCAGGCATGAACGATACTGAATAATTTAAAATAATCAAAAAATAACTATTATTTAATTTGAATAACGTCCTGCTAAAGGCAGAACTCTGGACCACTGGACCATTCGTGGCGTGCACACACAGACAACACAACATGACACCTTCTGCTTTGAGAACCAGTGTTTGGAAGAACTTCAGTTTCAGTGAAGGTAAACGAAAAAACGGTGTTCACAAGAACCACAAATTACAGAAGTTTTCTAAGCCGTGAACACTCAAACAGGCTTTTTTCCCCTGAAACTACTTGTGCAAAACATGGTTGCATGGCTCGCTGGTCACTCTGTCGCAAACACTCGGAAGTCACTGACACTGCAGAGGAGATTTTGTCTGTTTTCTTGCAAGTTTAAGTTGCCAGCTAGCTTCCAACAGACACATCCCGCTGAGATACTAGCTAATGTTGCAACCTTTAGAGCCATGATAGACCATAATGACCATATGTAGAAGATACCTACACAGCCAGTCCAACACTCTACAATAAAACCAATAATAACAGGAGGAACCCTCAGGGACTTCAACGCCTTCAGAGAAGTCCTAAGGATTCAGCACATATGAAATGTTACATTTAGAAATTTTAATTTAGTATTTCCTTTACAGAAAAAAAAAACTTTTTCTACATAGTTTCTTTCTTTTTGCTAATTTATTTAATTTTCTTTAAATTTAAATTCATGAAAATATAGTTATCAATCAGATTCTTTGAAATCTTTGTCTCCTTGCAGGAACAGAAGACATCAACATTGGTTAGGAGTTCAGTGTCATTAGACAAGGTTGACGTCAGTCAGACTCTCCAGGATGAGTTTGTTTAAGAACTGACTGGAAAATTAACCAGTTGGAATGTTGCTGTAAAGTGGGTGGGGCCAAAACACTGGACACAGGACTTCAGGAAGGCCTTGCAAAGCATTTTTTTTTGTTTTGATAACATGAAGATTTGTGATGCATTCGGTTATAACCTTTTCATTCAAAAAGCCACACAGAAATTGTAGTTGTTCTAACACAATAAAGATTAAATGTCCGATTTAGGTTTACATCCGTAATTTTCAATATTTCATCTGTTTGTGTTTCCACTATATAATCACATTATACAGAAACAGTAAGTTCTATGAATTAGTTACTTTTCAGTCTGAATTATTGAAATTACAGGTTGAACGTAAAGAGACTGGGTGAGCCGCATGTCCTGGGTAATCTTGGGACAGAAATGGGTGGACTTTTTCAGGTTATGGGTTCAGACTGGTTGTTACTGTTTGTTGTTCTGTTTAGCGTTGGTTTGGGATTTATGTCCAGGCATTTGTTAGTGACTGTATAAAAGCGACACCATAAGTCAGATGTTGTACTTGACTGATAAAAGAGCAGGAGCATCTCTTCTTATCAAGTCACTGATTTGCAAAACTGAAAATAAAGTGACATAATTGGACGGCAACTCCATTGTTTGTCTGGAGTTAGCGTTTGGAAGGATGGCACTACATTGCATCCTTACTGAAGGCCTAGCTTTTATAGTCATGGTTCACCCTTGGTGGTGGAAACACTGATAAAGGGCAAGGCAGCTTTAACAGCTGATGCCTGGACATCCATTGCCTCCAAATCCTATGACTCTGCATGCCTACTCTGTTAATAGCCAAGATATTCTATGCTAAGGATTTTGTTTGGCACGCGATGAAGGACACATTGATAACTGTTTAACAATCACATCGCAGCCTCCTGAATCGTAACCAAAAACAAGAAAATGCAGAACAGACGAAAGAAAAAGCCCTCCCCCACTTCTCTTGTCTCACCACCCTGCTGTTCACTCCATCGCCTCAGTCCTTGGAAGCTCAAATAAATTTTAATTACAGGTGACACGGCGGCACAGCCAGGAGCTGCGTGTGAGCACATGTGTGGAGACAGGATGTGTCTCGGTGCGAGAGCGAATGTGATTCATCGTCAGCAGGACGGCTCTGCTCTGCAGTCTGAATGTAGGACAAACATTCACGGCTTTGGAGTTTCTCCTTCTACCCCTCTTCTCCTTCAGTCCTAATCTGCATTTCTCTCTCTTTTTTTGTTGTTTATGTGACTACTGAGCCCTCATAATTAGCTTGTAGGTTTATGGCCAGACCTGATTTGGATGCTGTTTCCACCCCTGCACTGTCCCGTGGGGTGTTTGCTGCAGTGACAGAGAGGATTGTGGGTGGTCACTGCCACTCAGATCCTCTCTTTGTGTTTGCAGCTTTTTGAGTCATTTAATCCAAAGCCTACAGACATCTGCCTCTGAGCATACACCTGTCGCAGTTCCAAAATGAATTTACCTCGGGCTCCATAGGAGGATATTTTCTTCCTTTGCTTTTCCCCAAACATTTCGTTCTTCCTCCTTCAAGAAGTTGGCACCAGAAGCCCTTTTGAGGGTCAAAGCTGTGAGAAGACGAGAGCAGAAAAGAAAAGAAGAAGAAAAGAAAAAACAAGAGGGGAGCAAGAACAAGGATGTCACGTTGTGTGGAAAAGTACTGGTGACAGGACAGAAAAATATAAATGTTTTAAAAATATTTACTGTCAGTTTTAGTTTGAGGGGTAATGATTTGTATAAAGTGTGTATAAAAACTTCAATACTTTCCAGTACAATGCCTGTTAAATTGTGGTACTTCAAAGACAATGTGCACATACAACCACAGTTCCCAAAATGTTGGGTCCTAGTGCAAAATGTAAATAAAAACAGAATATTTTCATCACAGTGGAACATAGCAAACTTATTAAATGTAAGATTGAAACATTTATTTGGAAAAAAAATAAAGAAAGATGATTTTCAAGTTGGGCAGCACGGTGGCGCAACTGGTAGAGCTGCTGCCTCTCAGCGAGCAGGTCCTTGGTTCAAACCCCGGTCCAGGGGCCTTTCTGGGTGGAGTTTGCATGTTCTCTCCGTGCATGCGTGGGTTTTCTCCGGGTGCTCCGGTTTCCTCCCACAGACCAAAAACATGCATGTTAGGCTGATTGGTAACTCTAAATTGTCCCTAGGTGTGAATGAGAGAGTGAATGGTTGTTTGTCTCGTTTGTCTCTATGTGGTCCTGTGATGGACTGGAGACCCGTCCAGGGTGTTCCCTTGTCCCTCGCACAGTGATTGCTGGACATGGGCACCAGCGACCCCAGTGACCCAAAATGGAATAAGCGGGTAAAGATAATGGATGGATGGATTTTCAAGTTAAAGTACAGCTGGAGGAGCATTTTGCCACTATCAGGTTAACTGACCACAGGTCACTGACTGGACAGGATTTGAAACAAGCATTTTAGAGAGGCTCAATCTGTCAGAAGTAAAGATGGGCAGAGGTTCTTGGGTCTGGTTTTGTTCTGGACATGGGCTCAGGAACACTTCCACATGATCACTGTAAACACAATTTGTTGTGCCATTGATAAATGCTGCTACTCTGTCAGGCAGAGAAGAACAAAAAACTGTTCTGTGGCACGAGAAATCTTTACAGTCCAGACCTCTCACTAAATGAAAACATTTGGTTCATCAAGAACAGAAAGTCCAGCAAAGAAGACCCAGGACTGTAGAACAGCTAGAATCTTGCATCAGACAAAAAATGGGACATGTCCTCCAAGAAGTCCTGCAGCTGTATCGTCAGTTACAGATGTTTACTGGCTGTTGCTAAAAGGAGGATATGGTACCACAACGCTGTCCCCACTATAAAATGTGTTGCTGCCTTATTTTGTGCCTAAAAACGCTCCATTTGATGTTTCCTATATTACACTTAGAATAAAATGTTTTTGAGATTTGCAAACATTTACATTTCACACAAGTCCCAACTTGTTTATAATTTGGGTTCAAATTTAATTTCAATTTCCAGGAAGTCATCTGAAAAGAATAACTTGTAGGAAATTAGTTAGAATAAAATGTCTAACCTGTGCTCTGATGTTTGCTTCTCTGTGAGCGCCATTGTTTGACATAAAAAACATTTTAAGCCCAAGGTTTAAATAACATCCTGTTGAACATTAACAGAAACACTTGTTGTGTTTTTTACCCCAACAACGTTTCAATCAGAGCAGTGATTTGTTAATAAGCCTGAGCCCTCAGCTGATGAAAGATAGTAGCAAGAAGTGCACAGATACATCTTTTTCTAAAACAGTGCAACTTGTCCATTAATTAAAGCATTTTTAACAAATTACACTTTTAAAAAAGTGCTGTTAAGCCAATCATTATTTAAAAAGCTGATAGGCAATGTCCCTAGTGTAAATAAATCTTGCTAGAAAAATAATAATAAAAAAAAACATTAAAGCTTTAATATAACATATTTTTAGAAGTGCTTTGTCTTCAGTGTTTGAACCTAAAAGGAGGACACTTACCTTTCTTTGCTCAGACTAAGCAGACAGTATTATTGCATATTCAGCACAACCCTTTCAGCTAGCAGTGCTTGTCTGATGGTCGTAAACAGAACGATGTCTCATTTCATTTCTCTATGCCTCTCCATGCAGGTAAATAACAGGAACAGTGGTTAAACTGTCAGTGTCAACAGAAATATAAAGTGCTCCTATGGTTTCTGTGCTGTTCAAGGATCCACAAGGGTTCATTTTATCTTGAAATAGTTATTCTGGTGCATCAGTTTGACCTTTGTTTACCTCTCTGCCTATCAGCTGTCAATCAAATGGTTACCTCAGTGTACACAGCTGAACACCACTAATATATATATATATATATATATTTTTTTTTTTTTTTTTTTTTTTT